CCTTCCCTCTTTTTGGCAGTACTGGGGTTTGAACTCACGGTCTTGAACTTGCTAGGTAGGTGCTTTACCACCTGAGAAATGTCCTTATGATCCCTTGAAAGAAACGCAGAGGGATGACAGTGAAACTCAGTGGTGGAGAGCTTGCCTGTCATGCACAGGATTCCAGGTTTGATCCCAAGCATTGCCAAAGTAAATAAAGAAATAAACAAGCACTGAAAAGCACACACTTGTGTAAAAAGGTGAGCATTTGAGGGAATATTTGTTTTTAATATCCTCGTCATGAAGAAATTCAATCTGAAGCAATATGTGGCTCTAGGAACACACAATTTTTCTTTATAATTTTTCCATGCTGTATCCTGAAACTCACTTATTTTTATATGAGTTTCTTTCTTTTCCATAAAAGTTCACATTGGAGAGCTGGCAACGTGGCTGCAGTGGTAAAGAATCTGCCTAGAAAGCATGAAGCCCTGAGTTCAAACCCCAATATTGCCACTCCCCCCAATAAAAATCTGGTTCTAAAATTATTCATCCATGCCTTGTGTTATACTACTGTACTGGGTTGCCTGTGTCCTCCCAAAATATGTGTCCACCCAGAACTTATGAATGTGACATTACTTGAAAATAAGTACATGCCTATAATCCCAGCATTTGGGAGTCAGAAACAGGATTGTGAGTTGGATGCCAGCCTGTCTACACAGTGAGACCAAATCCAAGAAGAAAAAGAAGAGGGGACTGCAGCAGTAGAGCACCTGATTTGCCCTGAGTTCAAACCCCAGTCCCACCAAAAAGACAAAAGAAGAAAACAGAATGCTTACAGAAGGAATCAAGCTAGAGCAACGCTGTACTGCACTAGGCTGAACCCTTTCTTCTTTTTATTTTTTGATGGCACTGGGATTAGAACTCACAGCCTCATGCTTGCTAGACAGGTGCTTTTAGTGCTTGAGCCACTTCACCAGTCCCTTTCTGTGTTAGGTTTTTTCAAGATAGGGACTTGCAAACTATTTGCCCAGGGTTGGCTTCGAACGTGATCCTCCTTTTCTCTAGGATTACAGAGTGAGTCACCAGCACCTGGCTGGTATCTCCTTAAGGAAGAAGAGAGAAGACACAAGGGAAGGGAGGGGAGAGTGGGAGAGGAGAGGAGAGGAGAGGAGAGCACCTCCTCAGCTGCCTCAGTCACCAAGGGCAAGGAAGACTCCCCTGGAGCCTTCAGAAAGAACCTGGCCCTGGGACATCTTGGTTTCAGACTTGGAGCCTCCAAGACTCTGAGAATAAATTTCTGGGCTTTTTTTTTTTTTTTTTGTAGGACTGGGGTTTGAACTCAGGGCCTTTGAATTTGCAAAGCAGGCACTCTACTGCTTGAGTCACACCTCCAGTCCATTTTTCTCTGATTATTTTGGAGTTGGGCAGTGGATGTTGGGGGGGAATGTTTCACAAACTATTTGCCCAGGCTTGTCTCAAACTACAATCCTCCTGATATCAGCCTCCTAAATAGCTAGGATTACAGGATTAGCCACCTGCACCTGGCTAAATGTCTGTTGTTTTAAGCCATCTAGTTTGTGGTAATTTGTTACAGCAGCCCTCATAAACCAAGAGACTTTCCACCCAAGCAGGCAGAGCACAACTCCAGCCCCCTTGGGATTCTGCTTTGGCCAATGGAGTTTCAGCTGAGGTTAAATGAGTTTACAGTCTGGCATCCTTCAAAGGAAGTGCAGGTCCCATGCCACAGCCCATAGCCAGGACCCAAGCCTGCAGACCCCAGCCTTGGAGCAGGACCTGGACCAGGAGAGCAAACCAGGAAGGGTGAAATACATGCTTGGTGTTTTCAACCACTGAGAGCCCCATGGTTAGTAACTTAGTCCCCAGTGCCTGGCATGGTACTTGGAAGAAAGTAGCTGCTTAGTAAAAGCCTTCAGTGCTGAATGGGTTCAAACACTGAGCCACAGTATGGCTTAGCCATTTGTATGCACTGCACACATCCTACGCTCCAGCCAGTCCCATCTTTCTTTTTATTTTTGAGACAGGGTCTCCCTATGTAGCCTAGTCTGGCCTTGAAGTTACAATCCTCCTGCCTCAGCCTCTTTAGAGCTGGGATAACAAGCATGCTCATCCTACTTCCCATCTGGGTCTCAGAAAGCTACCTCTGACTTCTTTCAATTTTTTAGAAAACAATTGTGCAATTATCCCTACCTCTGGGCCTTGGCACTAGCTATTTCCTTGCCTGGGATGCCCATCCTCGACTGTTCACCTTGGCAAAGTCCTACTCATGATTTGACTCTCAGCTTCCTCAGCAGGGAGTTTTCTGGTTCCTCCCCCACACCCCACCACAGGAAGTTTTCCTGTTTCTTATAATCTTTGCACACTATACTTATTCTTAGTACTTCTCTCGGCTGCAAATGATCTTTAGTAAAATTTCATTGTCTCTCAGGGATGGGGTGTCTCTCAGTAGAGTCCTTGCCTTGCATGCCGGGCCTGTGTTCCATCCCCAGAACCACACACAAAACAAGTTTGCCCATCTCCCATAGGACTTTTAAGATTTGTACACTAGCATGTCTTCACCCTATCATGGTGCTTGACACATGACTTGAGCTTAATATAGTTAAGAACTACTGGATGAATTAATTACCAGGCCATTTTCTAAAGGGAAGTCTATGGGTTGGGAGATTAAATAGAATCAAGGTCGTTTTAATAATTTGAGAGGCAGCAAAGGTCATGGTTAAGGGAAAGAGTCCATGAGTCCATCCTTGTATGATTCCACTGAAGAGATACACACAATAGTCAAATCCTTAAGTGGCAGAAAAGTAGAATAGTGTTTACCAGGGACTGGGTAAGGGTGAGGCAATGGGGAGTTTTTTTCTGCAGTGCTAGGGATGGAACCCAGAGTCTTGTGCACAGAAGGCAGGAGCTCTACCCGAGCCGCACCTTTAGCCTTGGGAGTTTGTTTGGTGGTACTGGGGTTTGAACTCAGGGCCTCATGCTTGCTAGAGTTGCTCTACCACTCAAGCCCCTCTGCCTTTTTTGTGATGGGTTTTTTCAAGATAGGGTCTCCCTGATCTATGTGCCAGGCTGCCTTTGAATTGCTGATCCTCCCTATCTCTGCCTCCAGAGTAGCTAGGATTACAGGGGTGAGCCACCAGCTTCCTTTTTAGTCACTAATGTTCCATTGTATGGATGTACAAATTTATGCATTCTCCTGTTGAACATCTTGGCTGTTTCCCAGTTTTGATATGTATAAGGTTTCCATGAACATTTTTGTGTGGATTATCGTGTGAATGTTTCTGATTTGGGTAAACCATTTTCCTTTTTCACTTTTGTATGTGCGCACATTCTCATACATCTCTAAAGCTTTACCTATACTTTAGTTTTAAAAAGTAAAGCACACTGTTTCTTTTTTGCTAAAAGCAGTGTATATGGGTATTTTAGAAGTCAGATAAGAGCCATGCTCATGCCCGTGATCCTAGCTACTTAGGAGGCAGACATCAGGGGGATTGGCAGCACCTGCAGTTTATGAGACCTGATCTTGAGAAATACACAACCCAAAGCAGGGCTGGAGGAGTAGCTCAAGTGTCTACCAAGTGTGAGGTTCTTAGTTCAAACCGCAGTACTGCTGGAAGAGAAAAAAAGGTGAGATGTCAGTAATTCCTTTTTTGGGGGAGACATACTGGGAGGGCCTCTCGCTTGCCACCCCTACCACTTGAGCCCTTTTTGTGGTATTGGATTTTGAACTCAGGGCCTACACCTTGAACCACTCCACCAGCCCTTTCTGTGATAGGTTTGAAATAGGATCTCAAGACCTAGTTCCTCAGGCTGGTTTGGAACCTCAATCTGAGTAACTAGGATTATAGAACCATAGGCACACAGCTTCTTTTTGGAGTCCAAATCAAATTCAATTCTCCAACCTCAGCCTGAGTGGTGGGATTACAGGAATACACCACACCAGGCCTAGCTAATATACATTTTATTCCTATCCTTGAGATGATGGCCTCCCAGGTCATTTTTCAATGTGTATGTATGCCTGTGATCAGTTTTACCAAGTGATGGCTTAAGACAACTGTTCTAGGGCTGGTGGAGTGGCTCAAGTGGTGAAGCGCCTGACCAGCAAGCCTGAAGGCCCTGCTGTTCACAGAACAGCAGTTGGAAGACATGAACTTTACCAAATGTAAACTATGCATCAACATAATTGACTGAGAGGCACTCTTGTACATTAGCAGATAAACTGGTATAACTACCTAGAGAATAGAGAATAGTCTTGGATCACCTACATAAGTTCAAATGCCTAAATCTTTTCACCCAGCAAAAACCAATTGCCTGGGAATTTGTTCTACAGATACTAGGCTATCTGTATGTACACTCCAGGTTATTTACTGGAACACCATATACAATTACGAGGGTCAGAAGCATCAACTGTTACAAAGTACGGACTTCTCTGGCTAATAAAACATTCACTTGCTGTGCACTTTTATAGACCTTAGATAAATAACAATGACTACCTGCCTAGCATGGCAGCATATACCTGTAAGCTTAGGTACTTGGAAAGCAGAGGTAGGAGGATTCTGGTCAGAGGGCAGCAGAGATGAGACCCTACTCCAAAACAAACTAAAAAAAGGAAAGGACTGGGGCAGTTGCAAAAGGTAGAGAACACTTGGCTGAAGAGAATTCCTCCCTACTACCAAAACGAAACAAAGAACCAGCATTTAGTAGTGAAGGGCTTCTCAGGGCTGAGCAGACGGGGTAAGACATGGAAGTTCAGTGGTTGGAGTCATCTGTCATTGACTTGGTAAGAGATGATTAGAAAAACCCCACTATTTTATATTGGTTGAAAGTGGATGAAAAAGTTGAGAAGCCAGACATTAAGAATAAACCTGAAACAGGCTCTGCTGCAGACCCTCCTCCCTCTTTGTAGTAGAGGCAAAAATCCCATTACACCAGCAGGGTCAACTCTTGCCTTCAGTTATATGAGAATGTTTTTAAAGACCAAAAATAAAACCAAAGAAAATAAAAAGGACACCAAAAGAAATTACCAGTTATTTAATTAGGTTCTTGGTAACCCATTTAGAACATTATTTTGTGAGGATACATTCCATTTGTAAGAGCAAAAACAGACCGCATGTAGCCCTGGAGCTGAGGAATAGCTTTGATTTTTGGTAAAATCTGCCTGTCCACAGTTTTCTGATCAACTTTGCGTTGCTCTGTAAGCTCGTATTTCTAAAAAAAAAATTAAATAAAAAAAAATTAAACATTTAAAAAAACAAGCACAATTACCAACCTGCTCAGTGAACTAACGAATCCTATGTCCTCCATGCTTATTACAGAAAAGGCAATTTTCCATTCCTTCCACTGGAGCTGTGGAATACCATGTTTTTCTCGTACAATGAACACAGCGGTTTACCTTTTTATCCACTCCAATACACATCCAGGAGAAGTAAGGCACACTTCTAGGACATCAATAGCAGTGATCCCGAGGGCTCCCCCAACATCCCAGGAAGAACTACTGACCTTAGAAAATCTGTTCCTCATTCCTTATACTCCTCTCTCTCTACATAAGGATGCCTAACCATCTCCCCAAAGGGCCACTTATCACATGGACCTCACCTCTTTCTCTGTGTCAAAGATCTCGCCTTCCTGGTGCCTGGGCTTCCGCAGCTTCTTCTTCTTGAAGTAAGTGTCAGTGAGGTGTTTGGGGATTTTCACGCTGCTGATATCGATTTTTGTGGAGGTGGCGATGACAAATTTCTGGTGTGTTCTACGCAGAGGGACTCGATTAAGGGAAAGAGGTCCTACAAAGGGAAAAATTAATTTAGTGAGATTAAAGGGAAAGCACTTATACACTTAAGAACTAACTTTTAGGGCTGGGATGTGTGTGTGTGCGTAGCTCAAGTGGTGCAGCACCTGCCTAGCAAGCATAAGGCTGAAATGAACTCAGGTATAGCAAACAACCCCCTCACCCCCACCCGCCAAAAAAAAACCCCTGAGCAGTCATGAAGCCTGCTGTAGCAGTATCCACAATGTTCCCAGACCTCAGCTTGCTCAGGTTCTTTCCTCTTAAATCTTTTCAAATAAGCCAAGTTGGTCAAAGTCACAGGTCCCTGACAACTGTATACAGCACACATGCATACAAATGATTCTTGCCTAGAATGAACCATTCACTTCTTTGTGGTTCAAACTCCATTCTGATGCCAAGGACAGCTGAACTGGGTGGTAGCAAATGTATTCACCTACTGTAAGCCTTTACAAATCTAAATTTCAGAGAATAAAAAAGTCCTAGGATTTTCTTACCAGTCACAAGTAGCAAGCCACTGCTCAGCTGCTTCAGGAAAACCACTCTCTGTAAGTCAAACAGAAAACAGCTCTCTGTAGTTAAAACCTGACTTCTGAATTAATTCCAGACATCTCAATTTGGCAAAGGAAATTTCTATGTGTATATGGCTCAGCAAGACAAGAAGCAACCCCACTAGGCTGTTAATGGAAGTTCATCAAACAGAAAGGCATTCCAAGCAAATGGACAACCGAAGTTAACAACTGTTACGCATCACAGATTAAATTCGCTATCTGAAGTGAGAAATAGTTATGACAGGTGAAAATGCAGGGAAGCTAAGCATGATGTGAACAGCCGTCTTGATATTGAAATGCTCTGCTCCCAAGGGACTAGGCTGCTTCCTTGTGGAGCCCCTCCACAAAACAGCTCCACAAGCAGAGGCGCTGCTCACCTTGCCCCTGTGGCGCCCAGTGAGGATGATCAGGATGGTCCCTGGCGTGATGCTTGCACGCAGCTTCCTCACGTGCTGACTGAAAGGTTTTTTGCCGTGGCTCAACAGCTTCCTTGGCACATCTTCTGTAGGATAGTATCTGGGCTGGAGAGAGGTCAAGGACCCACTTACTAAGTGTGGTATTCAGAGCAGCAAAGGCAAGCTTGTTCTGACTGACTTCAAACACTTTATTTACACTCTTGCCTTCTCATTTCCTCAAGCTGATTTTAAATTTGGGAAAGAGCTGTATCTTTTATGTTCAAAACACAGGATGGAAAGCACTGAAAAGATGCTGGGTGTTCAACAGAGCATCAATCAAGTTATTTCTGTAAACTCCGGGTAAAGCTCAACTTCCGAGACAGCGTGCTAAGCTAACTTTCTATGGCTTTGACAGCTACTCATCCAAGTTTTCTGGAGCCACTGACCTCCAATATACACTCTTAGAAAACACATGGGACACACTAAAGTTTGTGTGTGTGGGCGATGATAGAGGGAGACAGTTTATGTTCCAAAGAAAGCACATCACATCCCCACCACTCTACTCCCATTTTACCTTTCTTCTTAGAAAAAACTGTGATGTTAGAACTGCCACAAAAGTACCATTAAGAAAGACAAATAATTGCCAAGTGCTGGTGACACACACATGTAATCCTAGCTACTCAGGAGGCAAGAGATCAGGAGGACTGCAGTCTGGGCAAATAGTTCTGTAAGACCTTATCTCCCAAAGAAAAACCCTTCACAAAAATAGGACTGGTGGAGCGGCTCAAGGTGAAGGCCCCAGTAACACACACACAAAAAGAATGACAATTCGCAATCCCCTCTCTCTCTTTGCAGTGCTGGGGACTGAACCCTTGCAGGGGCTCATGCTAGGCAACCACACCATCACTGGGCTACATCTCCAGCCCAATACCCTGACATTTCAGTCTCCTTCAAACGTCAAATCTCACCATTTTGCGAAGCTTAACCACTCGGGTACCACCATTCTTGTCACCACCAACTGGTTTTGTGATGGTAGCAAGAACCTTCTCCTTCTTCTTCTTTTCAACCTACAAAGACAAACACATCAAAAAGTCAGAGGGAAACAATTATTAAGGTTAAGACAGAACGGCCAGTGGTTCCCTTTCCCCTCACCTTAGATTTGGCAGCAGTGTACTTCCTCTTGTACATGGCTTTCCTGGAGTACATAGCAGATCTAGAGTATCGACCAATCCCTCTAACTAGGACTGGGTTTCGGCTGCAGTGGGGCTTCCCCTTCTTGGGCTTTTTAGCCTTAGGGGCACCCTTAGCCTTGCCATCACTGCTGGCTTTCTTGGCTTCAGGTTTCTTTTCCTTAGTGTCAGGCTTCTCAGCTTTTTCACCTGCCATCTACCAGTATTTTAAAGAACAAACAAACAGATATTTCACCAATCATTCCATAACAACGCAATACCTAAAACTGTACACAGAGTGTTCCCTAGCTCTGTACCTCTCTCCCTAACCCACATACTTGGCGTTGTCTCCCCAACACGCTGAGACCTTTTGAGGATTTGGAAATTATCTTAGAGTCGCCAGGCTTCTGCTAGATACTTAGCAGTCAAAAGTCCTTACCACCATTATTTTCCTATTTATTGCGAATTCGAAAACTTTAAGACAGAAGTGTCCACTAGGAAGCAGTTGAGTCCATAGCTTGAAACGTCTTTGCTCGTAACTTTTAAACACCACTGTCTCATTCAGCCAAGTCGGCTGATGGATCGAAGTCACGATTTGCTCAAACTTGGCCCATGTTTTAAGAAGCACCACGGCCAACAGGCGACTTCCGGTGGGGGACGTGGGAAAACACTAGAGGAGCCAGACACCAACGTGGCTGAGACAAGTTCAGCAGCAAACTCGGGAGCCCCGACTCAGGAGCGCGCGCCGTCGCAATGTCCCCCTCGCCCCGGCAGCTCGCTACGGCTCCCCGCAAGGGCCTTCTTCCCCCAACCCGAGAAGGCGGCGAACAGCCGGAGCCTCCACCGCAGAACACCTCACCCTTTTCGCTCCCCGCTGCCAACCCAGGCCAAACAAATAAAACATCTGGGGAGCCTCTCAGTTGAGTGTGGCCATGTCCGACCCCTGAAGATATCGACTTAAGGTCCTCTGGCTTCGGATGGCGAAAGATTGGGGTTCTGAAATCCAATCTTGTAAGGACGCCCGCCATTCTTACCTTGCAAGATGGGAAAGAGAACTAAGCTCCCGGCTTCCGGTCTATAAGCAAAGATGGGCGGTGTCTAGCCTGACTTCCTTCCGGATATGGAGCATCATGGGAAATGTAGTTTTTAATGCACCGTGGTCCATGAGAACTGTTTTTCCTACTAACAGGTAAAGGTAAGAACATTTTGTTTTGAAGGGTTTCATCCGAAAGATCAGTAAAATCATTTTATAAAAAATGTTTGCACACTTGGAATCCCAGGAGTCGGGAGGACAAGGCAGTAGGATCGCGAATTTGTGGTCAGCCTGGTCTACAGGATAGATTCTATCACACACACAAAAAAATTCAGCCACTGTGCTACATCCCCAGCTACCCCCCAACACACACATCCATCTTTCTTTCTTTCTTTCTTTCTTTCTTTCGTTCCTTCCTTCCTTCCTTCCTTCCTTCCTTCCTTTCTTTCTTTCTTTCTTTCTTTTTCTTCCTTCCTTCCTTCCTTCCTTCCTTCCATCCTTCCTTCCTTCCTTCCTTCCTTCCTTCCTTCCTTCTTTCCTTTCCCTTCCTTCCTTTCCTCCCTCCCTCCCTTCCTTCCTTCCTTCCTTCTTTTTTTTAAGGATCACTGGCCCTGCGTGGTGGCACATGTCTGTAATTCCAGCACTGGGGAGACTGCCTGGGCTGCTGAAGGCTTCCAATTCAGCCCGGGCTTACATAGCGGAAATCCTGTCTCATAAACAAAAACAAGCCACTGACAAGCTTTTATTTAAATTTTACCTTTAAACTTGTAAAGATGGAATCAACCAGGTGACAGTGTAGGGAAAATATTTTTCCCAATATTTCTCATGTAAGCTCAAATTTTAGGTTCTTCTTTGCAGTAAAACAAGGTTGTTTCTAAGTTGTAAAAAAATTCTGACTTTCTCCTGTATTCCCCCATTCAATCTTGGCTGCCACACTCAGACAATAACAGACATTTTTTCTTGATCTGTCTGTAGGGGAAACCTTAGCACCACTCAGTAACTGCTCCAGGTCTATCAACTAAAGGCACAGACCAGTATTATTCTGAAAGTACTGTGGGAGAACCAACACAAGGTTCTAATTTTTTTTATATTGTTACTGGGATATTCAGGGTAGTGTTGTAGAAGAGTTGTTTTTTGTGTTGGATTTGGAAGAATAAATAAGAAATTCAGCAGATGAAAGTGATGGTTGAAAAGTAGGCATGGTAATACATGTCTATAGTCCCAGCTGCTCAGGATGCTGAGGCAGGATTGCTTGAGGCCAACCTGGACAACATAGTGACACCCAGCTCTTAAGAAAAAAGAACTGACGAAGTGGCTCAAGTAGTAACAGCACCTATCTAAGCAGGTGTGGGTCCCTGAGTTCAAATCTCAGTGAGGCCAAAAAAATAAAAAGATAACTGGGCACTGGTGGCTCATTCTGTAATCCTCGCTACTTGGGAGGCAGAGATCAGGAGGATTAGGCAGAGATCAGTAGAATTATGGTTCAAAGCCAGCCCAGGCAAATAGTTGGAGAGACCCTGTTTCGAAAATACCCAACAACAAAAAAAAAGGGCTGGTACAGTGACTCAAATGGTATAACACCTATCTAGCAAATGTGAGGCCCTGAGTTCAAGACCCAGTACTGCAAAAACAAAGAAAATGATGATAATAATAGAATAGCATAATAGTGCTTATCTCATAGGGTTGTTGAGAATTTTAAGTAAATTAGTATACCCAAAACCACTAAAAACCATTTTTTGGTATGCTGATGGGGATTGAACCCAAGTCCTCTGCATGTCAGGCAAGTGCTCTACCACTGAACGACACCCTCAGCCTGAGAATCATATTGCCGCATGAAAAGTGCTATATACATTTTAGCTCTTGTTAGCAACATTTCTACCACCACTGACACCATAAACGTCATAGTTGTCAATGAGGTTCTACTCTGCGCCAAGTAGCAAGCATGAGGCCATGGGTTCAAACCCCAGTGTTGCCAAAAAAAAAAAAAAAAAAGAAAACTAAAACAAGTTGCTATCTTTTTTTTTTTCTTGGTACTGGGACTTAAACTCAGGGTCCATACCTTGAGCCACTCCACCAACACTTTTTGTGTTGGGTATTTTTGAGATAGGGTGTCTCCAACTATTTGCCCAGGCGGGCTTCAAACCATGATCCTCCTGATCTCTGCCTCCTGAATAGCTAGGATTACAGTGTGAGTCACCAGCACCTGGCAAGTTACTATCTTTTAAAAAATAAACAACACAGGCAGTTGCAGTCATATTCTCGGAGTTCCTGTTTCCTTGCCAGAGCTTTTAGGATGGCCTCCCAAAACCACATGACCCAGCTGCTGCCGGTGTTGGGCACCCCTTGGGACCCTGTGGACAAGAGGCTACAGAAGGAGCTGATGACCCTCTTGATGTCTTGTGGCAAAGGGATCTGCCTTCCCTGAGTCAGACCATCTTTTCCAATACATGGGAGCCATCCACGGAACAGTTAGCACTTACATGAAGACTAAGCTATAAGCTCTTCCTACCCTTACAACACACCTACAATGTTCCTTACCCAAACATGGACACCCAGGGCAACATCTGCCTGGACATCCTCAAGGACCATCCTGCTGTCTGTCCAGTCCAGAGCCTGCTAGGAAACCCCAGCTTCCACATTGAACACACATGCTGCCCAGCTCTGGAAAGCCCCACAAGAAACCTACTCAAAGCAGGTCTCCAGGCTGGCAGAGTGGCTCAGGGGGTAGAGCACCTGCTTACCAAGTTGGAGGCCCTGAGTTTAAACCCCAGTACAGCTAAAATTTTTTTAATAAGTAAATAAGCAACACAGTGTATGTGATAGTCTTTGCCACTCCACATCCCTTATATCAACACGTACACATTATTTGTGATAACTCCGGGTTCAAATTTTCCATTCTCTCTTACAGTAAGCCTGCCTTATTCATGAATTTATTACATGTGGTTTTAATCAAGTGTACATAAATAACAATAACAAAAACAATAATAATGATAACCAGAAGAAATTTCAGAAACAAAGATTTCAAATTTGCTGGGCACAAGTGGCTCACGCCTGTAATCCCAGCTATTCAGGAGGCAGAGGTCAGGAGGACTGTGGTTCCAAGCCAGTCCTGGGCAAATAGTTTGCAAGACCCTATCTCGAAAAACCCATCATGAAAAAGAGATGGTGGAGTATCTCAAGGTGTAGGCCCTGGGTTCAAGTCCCAGCACCCAGTGCTGCAAAAAAAAAAAAAATTCTGCCAAGAAACTGGGGATGGAGCTTAGAGGTAGGGCACTTGCCTGGTGTGCACAAGGTCCTGCCCAAGTCCCATTCCCAGCACTGAAGAAAAAAGTCTAACAATATCAGGGATTAAAATGACCCCACAAAACTAAGAAACCTCATGCAATTGCTTTAAGTGGGGTGGGGAGGGGGTTGAGGGGGAGACGATGGGGCAGTATAACTGATGTATAATGTAAGTCTAATCAGAATTGTCACCACGAATCCCCCCTGTATAATGAACAGAGCCTAATACAATTTTTTATTTAAAAATGACCCCAAATAAGAGTCTCACCCCCTCTTGTGTTTTCTTGTGGTATTGCAAAATCATGATTCATGATTCATAACTTGGGCAATATACCACAAATACGTTGATTTCAAAGTAACAAATTATAGCACTTTTTTTTTTTGTAGCACTGGGGCTTGCACTCAGAGCCTTCACCTTGAGCCACTCCACCCAGCCCTATTTTTGTGAATGTTTCGAGTAACTATTTGTCTGGGCTGGCTTCAAATCACAAACCTCCTGATCTCTGCCTCTTGAGTAGCTGGGATTACAGGTGTGAGTCATCAGCACCTGGCAAATTACAGCACTTGGTTTTATCATATATAAAATGCTTTTAGATTTGTGCAGTACTTTTATTACAAAGTATCACAAAGCAGACATTTTTTGGGGGACAAATACTGGGGTTTGAACTTGGGGCCACACACTTGCTGTAGGCAGGCATTCTATTACTTGAACCACACCCCCAGCTCACACAGCAGACATTTTTGCTGACACTGTATCATTTAAAACCTCAATGGAACTTCCTTGTGAGGTAGGAATTTTTTTTTTTTTTTTTTTGCGGCACTGGGGTTTGATCTCAGGGCCTCTCACTTGCTAGGCAGGCACTCTACCCCTTGAGCCACCCACCAGCTCCTTTTTTGTGATTTTTTTTGAGGTAGGGTCTCTCATACATACTTATATTTAATCGTCTATCTCACAAATTTCTTTGTGTCACAGACAGCAGAAGGAACTGTCCTAGTCCTCTGGGAACTACCAGCTATGTGCTAAGTCTCTCTACCTCCACTTTTTTATCAAATGGGGATGGCACTGACAATATACATATATATATATATATATATATATATATATATATATATATATATATAATTTTGGCAATACTGGGATTTGAACTCAGGGCCTCACCCCTGCTGGGCAGATGCTCTACCACTTGAGCCAGTCCTTTTTTGTGTTGGGTATTTTCAAGATAGGGTCTCAAGAACTATTTGCTTGGGGCTGGCTTCAAACTGCATTCCTGATCTCTGCCTCCTGAATAGCTGGGATTACAGGCCAGTGGGGCCTGGCTGGTATTGACAATATATATATTTTTTTCTTTGTTATTGACCATATTGATAATACCTCCTCCACTAGTGTTAATATTAAGGTCAGTGAGTCAGCCACTCGCTCAGTACTCTCCTAGATAGGACGTCCATGGAAGGACTATTTTGGGCACAAAAACAAAAGTGAAACAAAAAAACAAAGAAAAGTTTGGGGTTGTAGCTCAGTTGTAGGGCATTTGCTTAGCATACACAAGGCCTTGACTTCCATCCCCAGCACTGCAATAAAAACAGTAATAGGGCTGGGAGTATGACTCAAATGGTGAAGCACCTGCTTAGCAAGCTGAAGGCCTTGAGTTCAAATCCCAGTTTGCCAAAAAGAAAAAAAAAACAACAGCAACAATAGCAACACGCCAAAACAAACAAACAAACAAACAAACAAATTACAAATTACTCTTGATACCCCAGAAGTGGG